CGTGCGTTGGCCAATTTTTTTTCTTTTGGATGTTAGTTGTCTAACTCAACATAACGCACTTCCTTTCTCGGTTATAATCCAGAACTCCGAGGCAGAGCTGAAAACAGGAACTCCTATTAGCCAGTATTGTTGGGACTCTCATAATCCTGCCGGTGTTGGAAAAACCATTTAGCAAAGTGAATATATCCGCGCCTTTTGCTATCCCTAGTCTGAACATTCGGCAAATTTCAGGTCTTTGTTTTATCCAATTAATGCAGTTTGTGATGATGGCATTTATTCCAATAAATACGCGCCTGATTTGCTACAGTTATCAGAGGCAAAACAGGACAGTACTGATTGAAGATATGGATGACTGCCTCTTTGCTGGCACATGTTGTTACTCTGCCGATTTTACTAGTAAGTATTTCTGTTCTGCTGTGTTTTCCTAACTCTGCAGCAGTTTTTTTACTCTTAAAGTCGAATTTTACCGCGCACATAAAAAGATTTGAATTCGTATTTTTGATGAACGTTAATATAAATCGTTTTTCAATAGCAAACTAAGTCCAAAATCGTGTAAATCGCTCCCATAGTGTTGCTTTTTCAGATTCCAAAACAAAGAGTGTGACGGCCTTTGGTGGCTGCGCAAATGAATATTTCGGTCTGATGACCATTTTACCCGAGCTTAGCGCGATCTCGGAAGTGGAAAAGACTCGCATTTGTGAAGTAAGCCTATGCACTTTTGCTAGAACAATCCTAGTGAAGGGCCCAGTAGTAATGAGTCTAATCTAGGTATGTAAGAAATATATATTGTAAGATTGTTGGAAATTACTTGTTCTAATGGCGAATTGCGGCAAACAAATCGAGACAGTTGTCGCATTTCTCTATTATCAACAGCATGTTTCAGGAAGAGACCTGCATTGAGCGAATGACACTGCTTGGGACACTACGTTTCTGCGCCTGCAAAGGGGATAAATGCAACGATAAGGGTATCGATGGCGCTGCGCAAGACTATCGTGACCGAAAAGCAAAGCAGGAGTTTGCTCAGAAAATTGCTCAATCCCGTAATGTGATCGAAAAAGCTATGCAAAATATGATGGACGGGTGAATGAATTTCTCTATTTTCTTTCACTAAGATTATTATACTCACAACTGAAGTCCGTTATCTACCTTTTTTTTTAAACGTCGACGCTACCAACTGCTAATTGTTCCAGCAGTGAAATTAGAAAGTTTAATTTTCAAGATTTGCAGTCTTATTTTTTGATTA